TGGGCTGTGTTGCTAATTACACCAAAAATTCATGCTTCATATGTACTCTGTAGATTATACTAAATTTTACTTTCTAGTGACTTGTCCCTTGAAAATTTTGAAGCTATTTGAGAAATGAAAATGCACCTGCTTAAATTACTTTACCCTGAATCCAGGGTGAACCCATCTTCCAGGAAATTGTATGGCTTGTGTTGTTATGGTTTTTAATCTCATAATTTAAAGTGTGGTTGTGTCTCAATTCTACAATATATCATCTTTGGCTTGTTGACAAAGACTAAAAGTCATGAGATTCATTAGAGATTCCAACCTTCCAGTTATAATCCAAATTAGAACCTTTTTGTGTGTTTTGCAATGGGATTATTCCTTGGCTTAGCCTACAAAAGAATCTGGTTTGCATTAATGTTGGTTCTCCTCTATCTCTTTTGCTGTGTAAACACTGGGCTGTAAATTATGTTCCAGAATCGGAGTGTTTACAGTATTTCACAGGTATTTGGCTGGCTAAAAATAACTCCCTCAGCAGCCTGAATCATCATCAAACATCAGCATGTTTGGCACTCCCACCCTACATCCTTTGCTACCTGTTCTCTCCCGCTCAGCACTCGGACTCAACGCCAGGCGCCAACCTGAACACACAGAAAAGCCCCCAAAGTGCCACCAGAGCCAAATCTAATCGTGCACAACTCTTCCCAGGGCGAGGAGCCACGTTTGGAATGAAGCCAGAGTCAGAACTGGCCAAGATCTCTGAGCAGACCCTTCCGAGCCCAGCAGGCAGCTGCTGGAGCAGCTTTAATGGCACCGTCACTGTCAGACTTCCCACCAGAACAAACTCCTGACTGGTGCATTATTAGCCAGAGAACGGTGCTGGGAGCAGCCTGCAGTGCAAAAAGAGATGGAAGCCTCCTTCCTTTCCACTGTGCAAGACCATCTAATCCAACATTTGCTGCTTCTCAGAGATAAATCTAAATGATTACAGTGACCAAGGCTTGTACCAGTCCATTTGCACATGCTGCATGCTCTCCTCTCAAGACGCATCAGCACTGGAACATTTTCCAAGAAAACCTGGTTGTGTGTTATGGCTATAAAGTACAGAAAAATGAAGAATTTCAAGTAGTATTTGGCATGGTTCATTTGGGAGATAAGCAATGATTTTAGCTACCCCTCTGGTCAGTAACACAATTACAATCCTTTTAGCAATGATACAAAATCCTGAGGCAGCAGAAAATCACCAGTAGTGATTCTGCTGGGAGAGAGGGAGTGTGTGCACTTTGCTATTAATGCTCTAATATTCCATGTGATAAAGGAACTCACTGCTGACCTCTTCAAAATACTGGGGTCTGCATAAATGCCAAGTTAGCCTTCAAGTGGTAACTTGTTTTTGCAAATAAAAGTTTAGAGTAGCATTAAAAAATTCCTCAGATCACAAACCAAAACTCTTATTAGAAAAATAATAACTGCAGCTGGTTTACCACTATTGACTTAGGGATACCCAGTTACAAGTAACTGGTAGCTACTAGGTTAAAATAAATAAATATATAAATAAAATATGTGGGAAATCTTCCCATAAAACAATTGCAGGCCAATACTGGTCTAACAGAACCAGAAACAATTCCATTACTTCACTACTCACTTAAAATAACTTTTCTACCAGTGCATTCTGGTTGTCATGCTCTTAATTATTGATGATTTTCTCCCTGTTAGTAGCAAAAAAAAGTCTAAGAATACTTGCTATAAAAAAAGTATATTATTTTTTTAACCCATATACAAACTGGTTTTTTCTCCACTGAAAAAGAACCAAACCATTTAACTAATTTAAAAACACCTTTCTGAAATTCAGAGACTGACTCAAAAGTAATCCCAACCCATCAGGATACTGAGTTTCAGATGTAATTAATTCACATGGCTGTAACCTCTTCCCTGTGACACCAAACACAGGACAGCAGCTCTCACCAAGGTTTTCACATGTGCTTTGTTTTGCTGTTATTTCAAATAAACCCAGCCTAAAGCCTAAGCAGAATTCCCAAGCAGCAGTCCCCCCCAAGGCACTGCAGTGCCCCACAGCTCCCCAGAGGAGTGCACATGGCCACCTCCCTGCTCTGAGAAGCCACAAAGCAGAATTCCTGCAGCTCTTACGTTGTGAAGCTTCGCCCAGCAAGGGGCTGCCCAGGACCAGGACACACAGCAGGACTTTCAGGAAGGACATCCTGAGCCTTTTCTTCCAGACTTTGCCAGCAGCAGAATAAACTTCCCTTTCTGCTGCTGTGGATTGTGGATTTTGAGCTTTTTTTACAGCATCCTTCTCTATCAAGAATTACTAATTAACTTAAAACTGATACAGCTTTCTGATAACATACTCAGCATATTTTCCTTTATGAAACTAGGTAGTTTCATAAAAATATCTCATTAATCTTGCTATTTCTGAATTTTTGAAATCAGATGTGAGGTATTCATTTAACGACCTAAATTTCAACACACTAAGGTATCTGTCAGGAGCCTTTTCTCTTCTCCTTTTAGGCTTATGTTACCTTTTACAGATAACAAACTTGGACTGCATTTGCAGACAATGTTCTGGAACAGGCATTGTTTTTAAAGACAAAGCCATGATCTTGAAGATGGACACGATGTGAAGGATGGAATCCTGTAATTGCATGTATCTACCATTAAGTTTTGTTGATTATTTTTTCATTTTTCTGAGAAAAAAATAGAAAATACCCATGTGGCAAGGATGAGTGAGGAAAGAAACTCACACCTTAGCACACACCCTGTCATCTTTCTTCTTTATTACTTAGAGCCCTTAAAAATTCTCAACATTCACAGCACAAGAAAAAAATGACACTGTGGTCACCCCCAACACTACCCAGGTTACACCCAAAGTTTGTGTTTAACTGCATTGAAGCTGAACTTAGCACAAGCATTGTTCCTAGCACAGGGCTTTCAAAACTAATCCACAACTGATAAAATACCAATGTGGTTTTCCTAATTTGACAGGAGCTGGCAGCTTATGCTAACATGCCAAGCACAGTTACATTAACAGCAAAAGGTAAACTTTAACCTTTGCTTTTCAAAGCATAAATAATGATCTCTAAAAATCAATGCCTAGCAAATTCTTGAAAGAATACTGCTTTGGCTAAAGCCCAACAGCACTTAATATTACAGCAGTAGATAAGAGATTCCCAGTCCTGCCAGAAAATTACTTTACAACAGACTACAACAAAGAAATTATTATTTACCTCAGTGAAAGAAATTGCATGATCCTTCTTCAGATGTAAGGCAGAAGTGTGAAGAAGCAGTTCCTGCAGATGCTCCATTCTCCTGCTGACAGGGAATTCCCCTCTGGCTCCAGCTCTCAGCTGCTCAGTGGGAGCCTCACGTTGGCTGATGAACAAACACCTTTCCCTGGGCTGTCAGATGTGGTTCAAGGATGCAGAAATGCAAAGGGCAGTTTTTCCCTTGGGTGAGATGTTTTAACGTAGCAAAACAAACCCCAGACCCTTGACTTTGCCACATCATTGGCATTTATTGGCTGCAGAGGGTTTGGACCTGGCCTCAGGAATGGCTGCAGAGGCTGAGGTTTCTGTTTTCAGTGCCCACTTGAGTAACAGCAAATAAACCCAGTGCCAGCAGCCCTGAACAGCTGAGAGCTTTGTACTGCACAGCACACCCATTTCCTCCTCTTATTGTCTGAGTTTCTGGAACTCAGCACAATCAAGAGCCAAGTAATGCATTCTATAACATCCAGCCTCATTTAATTTCTTCAAAGAGAGACACAGAAGTAAATCAAAGTTACTGACCAAAATGAATGGTGGAAGATGGAACTGCTCATAATCTTTAATCTTAACTCATTTCAGAGCTGGTTCAAGATGGCTGTGGAGACCAGTCTCTCCTCCTGCAGCATTGCAGGGGTCCTGAGAGTGACACAAACCGAGCTCAAGCTATGGATTCCCCAAACACTGTGTCAGGACTGCTACAAAAAGAGCCCAGAAAAGATTACCAAGGCTTGAAACCACGACAGGCTCAGTTTACACCTATTCCCTGGTCACAGCAATGGAACTTCTTTCAGCTGTTGCAGCAAAATCCATCTCCTATGTCTGCAAACACAAGGACAAAGGAGTAACTGCACCTTGAACAGGGTGTTTGCCTCTGCCCACAGTGAACACAGGGTTTCACTGGGGTTGTTCTCTGCCTCTGGTCCACACAAAAGCACACCAGGCAGGAAGAAAGACACACTGACTTCTAGGATGGCTTCAGTCACAGCCTTTCTTGGCTGCAGCTTGCCAGCAGCACAGCTTGGCTTCTGGGAATCCTGCACTTTAAAATAAAAGCCACACACACTCCAGTGCCTACCGATTGTCCTTCTTTAAAAAGTACTGGCTTTGTGGGACCCCACTTTCTTTTGGATTAAAAATATGTTTTCAGCATTTCACTAAAATACTCCAAACTTCCACAAGGTAACAACATTGCTGCATTTCAATACCTTTCCAGTATCTCCCAAGCTGTTCAAGAATCACAGGGACAATGTGCCATTAAAACAGCCCCATTACTCATTCACACAATTCTCCTTCTTCCGAGTAATTCACTCTTTAGGTTACACCATGGATTACATAATTTATGACCCTTGCTTGGCAAATTACTTTATCTGGAAGACTGGCACAGTCACACTGAGACACACACATTTACCACCTGCTTCCTCCTTGAACTGTGTCACTTCTCCAGCATGGATAAAAACTTGAGTTTTTTCCAAGTCCTGAACTACATCATTCTTTAGAAAAAAAAATCCAAGAGAAGAAAATAGAAGCACAGCTCAAAATTTAGGCCACTGAGCACTGGTCTGTCCTGCTGCTTCAGGGATTTCTTCCAGGAGTGTTTCAGTACTTCAGGGGTGACATTTTTCCCCCAACATTAATAAACAAGTGTGACTTAGTCATTACAAATGAACTCTCAAAAAGTACTTGAAAGGAATCGACAATTTTCCTACAGATGAAAACAACAGACAAAAATTAAACTTAGTTTTTAAAAAGTATCTTATCACCCTTTATTTCCAGGTGCTTTGCAGCAATATGAAAAAATAAAGTATCACAATCAGTTTCATGTAAATAAAAAATTAATATCAACAAGCTCCAAATCACTCTATATTGAACACAATCAACCATAAATAAAACCCCCATGCATTAAAGCTATTTCTGTATTATAAAATACCATGTGACCCCATTCTTTAAGACATTGATTTTTTCACAAATATATAACTTATATCAAAATTACAATATACATTATTACTTTTATGACGTTACTGTATTATTGCATTGTGAAATAAACTTAAGTGACTCTTAAGGATACATTTGAGAGGCATTTCAAAGTGCTTCACTATAAATTAATAAAATCATGTCTCACGATAAAACTTTTCCCATGTTTTATGTTAACTTTTCAGTGTAACAGATTTGTCTGTTGGGTCTGAAATCTTCAAGAGCCCAAATCAGGCACATGGTTACCCAAGACTCACAAGCATGGCATCACGTAGAACTCAATTTGCTTTTCTAAAATCATTGCATAGCACCTTTACTAGAAATTACTAATACAGACATGTGGCTTGTAGTCATCTGTAAAGTATTAAATAACCCCTGGAGGTTCAGATGTCCAAACTGAAAGCAGAGAACACACCTAGCCAGAATACAAAACCTTCCATACTTTTCTCCCACTTTCTTTGGCTGCAGTTAGGGAAGAGTTGTCTTTAGCTGTACCTGTTTTCACAACTGGCATGGAACTCCTGACTCCTGCCTGCCCAAGCGAAGAGCCAAGGGACATCTGCAGAGCAGACACCCACCTGCATCACCAGGTCTGAGTGGAAATGCCCTGAGTACCTGGGCAGTCCCAGAGCAGCTTCTGGCACCAGGGAAGAGGCAGTGTCCCAAGGCTGCTCTCCTGGGAAGTGCTGGTTCCAGAACAGCAATCCTGCAGCTCCTCTCCCTGCTCCCACGAGACCAATTCCTGGGCAGAGATTTTCATTATGGCCTGAAAAATCTCACCACAGTAAACTCCTGCAAAATCCAAGCAATTCTCCATCATCTTACCTTTCCTGTTGACTTGCTGTGGTAGGACAACACTCAAAGTTAGAATTTAACAATTTAGGAGTAGATGGCTTTTCCTTCATGTTTTTATCCAGAATGTTATCAAAGGGAGACAGATAATACAATTTCTGGCACCCAGTCATGAACTTGAAAATGATCATTTCTTCACAATTTCCACTTATGTCTTCATCTGTTTCCCAGGAAATGGTATATGAAGCCCAGCCATCTAATTTTTCTACTCCTCTCTCTATGATGAAACACTAAATGTGTCATGTCCAGGAGCTCTCTGAAGATTGATTTAATATCCTCTGATTGCTGCCTGAATTCTGACAGTTGCCTGGGCCTTTAAGAGATGATGAAAGGAAGAAAAGACATTAAATCCTGTCAGCTGTCTCAGGCAAGTTTAACTAATAGAATTCTTCTTTTAAACTTCACATTTTCTGACTTCACCTTGCACTGTACTCTGTGTAACAAAGACCAACACTTCACCTGAAATTTGGATTTTAAAGTCTCAATTTGTTTCTGACACATCCTAAAAGCTTTTCTTCTTTTGCTCATTCACCATTTGTGCCTTCTGCACATTCCATCCTGCAGCACCTCCTCACTACTTTGCTGATGCCACAGGGACACCAGGAATTCTGCCTGCATTTCACTGGTCATTTGCCTTTGCATCAGCAGCCTAGGAAAAGAAATCAGGCTGTGAAATTTCTTCTTCTGGAGAGCAAGAGTAAATATCACATCACATCCCAGTGCTGAGAAAAGCAGCATTTCAGGCTTTAGCCTTCCATCTACACTATCTGTTCATGTGGTTTCTCTTGCTTCCCCCTCAATTTCACAGCAAAGCCTGTATTTTCCTTAATTAAAAGGTAACAGAATGAAGAGAAATGGGGGATGAACAGAAGTACAGGGATATACACCATGATAAAAGCAGTGTTTGAAAGGTTCATCCTAGGAAACTTAACTTCTAATATCATTCTTATGAAAAACAGAATTTCCCAGAAATCCTACCAAACTGAGATATTGCATACAAACCTGTGGGACAAAAAAAGTTGGCTGCCTGCTACTTCTGCAGTTTTACTGTCAGCAGTTTAAACCTTGAAACTACAGATTTCCAACTTCCCAAATACTTCAAATGGATTTTATGTAAATTCAGTATCAGTTTCATGGATTAAGCAATTCAAACACAGTTCCTCCAAGTATCAGAAGTAGGTGAAAGCTCATGCATAGTTTAGAAGGGATGTTTAGAAATCAGCTGTGTGTTTTTGCCCAACTTCAGAGACATCTGACCACAGCAGACAGAGGTGTGCAGGACAAGGAGTTGTTTCCATTCACCTTTGTGAAAGAGGCAAACAGTACCAAATTATTTTGTAATAAAAAAGCGGCTCTTTTACAAAAGCTTTAGAGCCAATGCTGTTCACATGATAAAACCATGGAGATTTTAAGGATACTCAGACCAGCAGGAACTTGCACTTCATTCCAGAGCTGAAAGATAAAAGACAAAGAAGCCTCTGCAAACCCCATCCCTCACATTCTTCATTCAGATCAACAAACATCTGAGCCAAAGCAGAGATATGTTTGCATTTTCAAATATCCTTTGTGAAGTGACATTTATTAGCAAGTTTGGCACAGAGAAGCCCCATTGGGAGAAGACACTGACAAATCTTGTTTTCTCAGTGTCTCACTAATGACACTGAGTGAATTCCCACTGCTTTTATGGAGTCAGGAGCAAAATAAGCACTAAACAGAATCATTTAAGTCAATAATACAAATTAGAGATAAGAAAGTATCTGATGAAATTATACCTCACAGAGTATGTATTGTAAAGATTATTCCTTCCCTTCTTCCCTCCCCCTTATCTGTAACATTTTGCATTTTGTAAAGCAGACTTGGCTTAGCTCCTGGTGCTGTACATGTCCACATCTTCTGGGCTGGACTGACCATGGTCCGTAAGTTTTGGATCAGGCTTAAATTTTGATGTCTTCACTGCTCCTGTTAGAGACAGCGAAAAAATATGGTTAAAAAGTATGCATATCCTTGAGGTGTAAGGAAATAAAGCTTAGTGATACATTTTGAGAATTTCTGTATTACCAAACACTCAGAAAAGATCAAAATCTGTCTGTTCCAGTTCAGAGTGTGTTAAGCACTGACAGAGGACAATGAGGGCATGTTGGAATGCTGGGCAGCAGTGGATGGAGAGCAGGACCTCTCCTCACTCTCCAACTCCACTTCCTAACCCAGCAGAGTGAGAGAAGACATTGTGATGCTTTGCCCAACACATGAAAAGGAAAGTTTGAGGCATGGAAAAAGTTCCCCAGTGTTTCTTGTCTAGGAGCAGAGCTGGATCCCACAAACAACCCTGCCAGATGGCAAGAATTCCAAATGAAGACAAGTACTCTCACCTAGCTTCACTTCTGAACTTCCAAAAACCACAAACTGAGTTTAGTAAAACACTGAACCCTCCCACTCACAGAAGGACAGTGCACAGGTGACATATTTAATGATACTGCAATTCCAGAGGATCTAGGGGAATATAAAGGCAGCTTTTCTGGGGCTGTGGCTCCTGCTCCTGATCTGCTTCTTTTCTAACTACATCACTTGATCCACAAAGGGTGTTACGTTTTCTTGAAAGTTTTGCCCCACTTGGACTGAGAAAATAAACATCTCTGGCAACACAGATTCATTTAGGGCATGGATATTTTTGGCTGTATTAAGGACATGAACTAATTCCACCTATGAAAGCAACGACAGATCTATAAACACAAACCCAATAAAGACAGTTTGGCCTGGAGCAAGTGTAAAAACAGATCAAAGCATTCCACAAACTAAATCAGAAAAAAAATCATGTGCAAAGCAAAGATGTGAATGCATACTACAGTGAAAATAAAGGAAAAAATATTAAAACACGAATCCAAGTACATTCTGCTTGCTTTCCACAAAAAAAGAAATCTCTGGTCACAATTTCTTCCTTCCAACTGATTTCCTCGTAACAAATAAAATTTAGAAGTTGCCCTCACAAAAGGTAACAATATTTTAAAACAAATTTAGTTCTCCTTTAATAGGTAATTCCACTGTTTTCTCTTAAAAATTGGACTACCAAATTCTTGTCTGTTAAACAGGCTGTTATGTGATCTAGTTGATTAGCTCAACCACTTAAGATGCACAAGGAACCACTGCAGAAAACCCAACAAAATAAAATCCAGTGCTTCATTTCTCAATTATACACGCTTTCATTCCACTATGGATCATCTCTGCATTGTTAGCAGAGGCTAAAAGTAATGAAATCCATTTGAGACTTCAATTTTATAATTAAAAGCTTTTTGTGTGACTTGCATTTGGATTATTCCTTATTTTGTTTACATTAATATTGGTTCTCTGACATTATTGAGAGAGAACAGCAAATATATAATTCTGTTATTATGACAGGGTCCACAGTGAGAAAATCATCACCTCCCTGAGGCTCTGAAATATGTATTAAATGACAGCATGTAAAATATGCTCTAAAGAATAATGTGCACTGACAGCCTGCTCCAGTTTAGAGCAAGAATAAGTGCAAAATTTAGTCAACTAATTGGATTTGCAAGTTGCCCTGAGATTACACTTGAAATGTTTAATTCACCTGATGAAGGCACTGGATCTTCATTACTCCAACACTCTACTGGAAAAGATTCTGTTCTGTTAAGTGATCTTGACTCAACAGCAGACTCAGGTTTGGTAGTAGAAATTCCCTTATTTTTCTTATCTTCTTGCATAATTGGTTTTGACTCTTGCTGCAGCTGTGAACCAAATATTAATAAAAGAAATCACATGGGTATATGCTTAATGCATTATTGCAAAATAAAGCTCTAAAGTCTGGGAGCTTATCTTTGGTGAAATTCTTCTCAGATATGACATCATACAGTGATATTCAACTAGTCAGCTGCACACAAGGGGCACAGCTGGAAAAAGTAAAATTCATGAAACCCCACAGATCAGATAGAATAAATTCATGTAGAATGGAAATTGTCATGAATATTTACTTAGGACTGAAGCTGTGGTTTTACATGAGACCCTCCAAGAACTACACAAGTTCATTTCCAGGTGAGGAGCCTTTAGCCTCACACAAGACTGAAATAGCCCTGAGTGTTTACAGAACACTTACTACCCTAGTTAGCAGGAGATGGAAAGATAAATCATGGTTACACCCTAGTAATGAGAAATGATACGTCTCAGGAAGAGGCTTCACTCAGGGGAAAAAAAATGAAGTTAATAAAAGTGTCTGTACCACATCAATTCTTGTTTTGCTATCAGTTTAATGACAGTTATCTGAATCTCATTTTCAAAACTCAGAATTCCATTTGTGCTTCTCAGAAGAAATGAAGGGTGAGGACTGCATGTCAATGAGCACGATAAATTTAAAGCAAAATATTTCTACACATTAATAACTAAGAAATAGAAAATATGTTTGAAAAGAGCAATGAAAAACTACTGTGCAAATCTGCAGTTTTACTTGGGAAGTGCTCCTTTGTCAAGGTTTTATAAATTTCCCCTTGACGGAAAAAACCCTTCTGGGTTGGATAAAGCCTACATTTGGTTCTGGGATTACCGATCCAAATTCCATATATAATTTACAGAAGGTTCATATTGCCCTCGACTCTCTGCTGGCAAGGCTTCAGCTGTTTAATATGTCCTATTTTGACTGCCTCACTTAAAAACCACACACAAAATCTCCTAAAAACAGAAAAAGCAGAGAAACTAGAGGAAATTCTGAGGAGAACAAGAATCATATCAGAGTGAGAAAACCGGCTCTGTAAGAGAAGGTTACAGTAGGGAAGAGAAGGTCAAAAACCCTGCTAACTTTTCCATAAGTAGTAGGTCAATATAAAGAGGTTACTGATAATTTATTCACTGTGGCTGCCATGAGGACAGGACAAGAAGAAATAAATCAGCCACGGACAATTAATAGCACAAGGTAAATAAACCAGACTTCCTGCAAGGGTTGTAGAGCAGTAAGTCAGTCATACCTACTGTAATCCTGAGTGTCTTTAGTCTTTAGTCTAAATTCAGGGGCTGCTTAAGACCAAAGCGTGAATCAAATGGATCCTTTATGCCAAGATAATAAAGGAGCTCTAAAGAGAAACTCATTCTTCTCTTGTGCACCCTGCATGCACTGTGGGACTACAGAGAGGATCTCAGTATCTACTGGCATGAAAGGTGTAAAAGCAACTAAATACTGAAGGGACAAAAAGATCAGACTGGGGTTTGTGCCTTGCTGAACACCATCAGTAAACCTTGAACAGCATCAGCAGAAAAGACCACAACTTTCTAAGCCCCTCTCAGTGTGTGAGTTCTCATTACTTCCCAATCCTACCTTGGTGACAGTTTCCTTGTCTGCCCACAGTGACCTCACAGCCTCATAGGTCTGATGACTCGCACCAAGTAACTTTTTCCCTGTTACCTATTTTTCAGAAAAACATAATTTAACAACAGTTTTTAAAATACAAAGATAGACTATTCAAATGAAATCAATCATATTTGCATTCTCATGCTTGACTCCATCCTAAGGCATCTACTTTCCAAGATCTACTGCGTATTTCCCTTACACAGGAAACATTTCCCTGCTAAATCCACCTACTCCAAATGAAATCAAACTCTGATCAGCAGTGTGCTGGCAATGTTGGCACAATAGATGGAGCACCAAGTTAAAGAATCCAAACTTGTCCCACTATGTTGGAAATGATCACAGATAAAACCAGAAACTTACCTTAGCAATGACCACTGACTGAGCTGGGTAACAAATAGAATATCCTACAGTAGTAAGTCCCAATGGATAAGCAATTTTCTTAAATCTAGAACCTGTACAAAGCCAAATATTTTGAATAATTAGACAAAAATGAAATGCAAACCAAGTAGTTGTAGCAATTAAATGCACGAGAGATTGATATTCTGAAAGATAAATAATCCTAGGGTTTCCAATATTATGAAGAATGAGAAGAATTGTATCATCAGTTTGTCTATCCTGCTCTGTCAGCTCTCAGCCAGCTCGTAACAGCAATCAACAATGTCCCTTCATTTACCAGGAAGGATTTATTTAAATCTCACAGGCTTTTGCCAATGTTTCAGGAGAGCATTCTGACCACTAGAACTGTTACAAGCTCCATACCTCACAGCCAGTAATGAAAACAAGGCAAGCCTACCTTTTCTTGCCAGCACTGCACCAGCCAGGCCTGACACTGTAATTACAGCGGCTTTGGGAAGAAATTCCGGCGGGGGGTTGTTCAGGTAAACATAAGCATCTAAGAAATGGAAAAAAAAGACAAAAAAGAAGCAGGGCAATTCAGTATCAGTCATTTTATTTCCCACTTAAGAAATAAAGGTGAAAATTTTAATTTTACTGAGAGTTTATATACATGAAATGAGACAGATATGTGACTTGCCTACCTTTTCCAAATTGAATTGAATCCATTATTCCATTTTTAATAAAGACATAGACACTCTACAAGGAAAGAAAAAAATACAAAACCAGAAAGTAAAATCTCTACAAAAGTAGCTGTTCATACATATCTCAGCACAATGAGATAAAAAAATCCAATCCAATGACTATGGAGAAATCGACCCTCTTTGTGACAAATACTTATATTTTTAACACTTACATTAATTTAAAAAAAAAACCTCTCTAATGTAAGCTCCCTTTCAAAACGGACATCTCAGGAACTCTAGAGCAGGAAAACACCTGGATGCCAACGGTATAGGAAAATTCAATTATAAAATACAATCATCTCTTCCCAGGAAAACTGAAAGAGCAAAACCGAATTTGTGCCACCAGAGGTCACTGCTGCTCAGCGGCAGGAACTCGTACAATCATTAATGACATTAAAAAGTTTGGTACAGCTTTGTAACAAGACTATTTCAGTCATGCAGTCACTGACAACGCTTTTCCAGACCAGTAGAATCACAATTTACAGAAAACACATTTTGAAGATATTTAGATTTTTTTTTCAACTATTAGGGTCTACATTTTTTTGCAGAAGTAAAATATAAGCAGAAAATCTCTGGCCAACAGCCAGGGTGAAGCTGCTGCTTCCCAGCAGGTACTAAAGCATACAGGCACCACAGTTCCCTCTCCACCTGGAACACGCAGTAACAGAGCTGAGGTGTTTCTGATGACTCGTGAGGAACAGCCTGCTGCAACAGATTCCTGGGATGCATTCTGTTTGTCTTTTTTGTCAGGTACTGCCCTTTGGAAGCAGCTCCTTCTCCATGGACTGCACCTGGAACTTCAGACTCAAAACAGCCTCAAGTTCTCCCAGCAAGAATTTACCAACATAACTCCTGCTGTAGAAGGAGGGCTCATTTTTCCATCCGAATTTATCTTATGCTAAGACAAGGAACTGCCAAAAAACCCCTCCAGGGAGAAGTAAGCTGTTTTTTCAGTGGTTGGCTGTAGTGCTGAGAGACCTGCAGGGAACATTCAGTGCATCCCTTACCTGGCACCACCCAAAGTAGCGGCCGGTCGTCCTCCGCAGGGCCGTGAGCTGCTGCTGCAGGAGCCCCGGCTGCTCCTCGACGTACCTGGAGCTCAGGGGGGGTGCGCTGTAAATGGGGAGCTGCAAACAGAGCACAGCTGAGCAGCAGGGCCACGGCTCTGCTCCCATCGTTGCTGCTTTTCACGGGGGTTTCCAACCTGCAAAGCCTCAGCATTCCCATCGCAGCACACAAAGCCTCTGTGTGGAACTGTGAGCTTTCAGAGTTCCAAACTGACTCTACCCAAGTGGGACTTCACTCTTTGGAAGTGAAAACTGAAACAATTATATTGGTTCTAAGAAGTAGAATTACTCAGTATGAAGCAAAGGCATGTGCAAGAATAATTAGAAGGTGGATGTGTGTATTACTAGAAACTGCACATTAGAAATGGACTCATCAGTAACTATTCTATTTTCACCTTTTCTGACTGCATTTTTGAAATACTGTAATAATGCAAATGAGATAAAACTTCACTAATTTAGTATCATAACACTTCGTGTTTTATTTGGACCATAGTGGTCAGTTATTTATTATCACATACTACTTTGCTATGTATTTTAGTTACTGGGTAATGTGATTCAATGGACAGAGCTGCTATACTGCAGGTTTTTCTAGTATTATTTTGAAGACCAAGAAAGAGGAAGATTCATACCTTATCTGGCTTCACCAGCTGACTTTTTGATTCCTTTTCTGTTGCTGCATATACAGTAATACATACAAATGGCAGCCCAGAAGAAACAGCTGCCAGCTTTGCCACCTGGGACAGAGAGACGAAAAAAGGGAGTCCTAATGCTGAAATTAAAATTTCCCTTAAGACTGATCAAATATGGGATTAAACAAGTCACTTTTAAAACCTTTTTTAAGTATTATACCTTCTAGAAATGTCTTCTGACTTACACAAAGATTTTCTGAAATTATAATGGTAAAGAAAAGGTTAAAGATCCCTGACAACAGTTTTATGTCTCAAATACCAGGAAGAATTTTGTGTTCAAAGCCACGCTGATGCTTCCATCACCTGTTAGGGTAAATTCAGATGTAATTTACTCAGCATGCAGGAACTCAATTTTTGAGAATTATTTAAGAAAGAACTATTTTAAACCTATCACAAATCAGATTGCTTATTTCCACACAGCTACCAGAACAAGACACCAATTTTCAGTAGACACTAGAAGAAAAACTGAATTTAAAAATGATAGAGCATGAGAAAGTTGTATTGTTCACTTAAAAAAAAAAATTATATTTTAAAGTCACAATGGATTCTGTTCTCAATGTAAAAGAGAAAGCTATACAGGGAATGATCAAAGGGGTCCAGCTGCTGGCTGACAGTAATTGCTTTACTTCTGGGTGCCTGCAGACAAACATATAAACGTTTAAAGATCCAAGGAAATATCTGTACTGGCTAACATTTACTCTAGCAGTTATCCCAAGAGGGTTTCACTCTTTTCTACTGAAATCACAAAGAACCAGAGCAAAAGAAAAAGCAACATCACCTTGACTGCACTAAAGAGGCTTCACTGCATGGAGCTGTTCCTTATCTAATCACGAGGTGCACTAAAAAGACCTCAATTAGCTAAGCTACTTCTAGTACTAATTTATTGAAATTATTTGATTAAAAGTGCCTTATCAGGCATTATGTATCAAACAACAAAAATAATACATTGTTTAGCTAAAGAAACCAAGAAGTATTTTAGCTATGAAAACTTCTACAGAAGTTACTGAGAATTAAAAATGGCAGGATCATATTGTTATATCAAACACTAGGAAAGAAGCACAGAGAAAAACACCTGCAAAAGGCTGGAGCTGTAAAACACCCTGGGATTGCATGTTCAGCCAGCAGAATGACTCCAGAACATCAGCTGATAACTGACTTACAAATAAATAAAAATCTTTGATTTGAAGAATCCAGGAAATTGCTGCAGGTGCAAAAACCAGGTGCCATTCCTGGAGATGAATTCTGCACAGACACAGAGCTAAACACCACCAGAAGGAAAGGTCAGTGGCCAGTGTTAAAACATTCCCTGTAACACCACTGCCAAGTTCCTGACCTACACTGACAACCTGCAGGTTCTTCCCCAGAAATAAAAAACACACAAAGACAGACATGGCAATGTTTTTGCTGAGAAGCCTGAACAGCAATTATTTGCTGAAGAAATGAATTATATACTTTCTAGCAGAAAACTGTTACAGCTATGCCTCTTAATAGTAGAACTGGAGTAAGACCAATCAAAATATAATAACAAAACTGTCAAATGTACCTGGATAATTTTGGCTTTAAGTATTTGCATTTCAAACAATCTGCTTCAAAGTCTTGGAATCTTACCAACGATCAAAAATACAGATTCTATTAAAAAAAAAAATTAAAAAACTACATCACTACAAAGAATTCACAATCTTCTACTCAAAAGATGCAGAATACAAACTAAACCATAATAAAGGCATATAGTTAATTTATGCTAATCTCCAAGACATTGTTTCCCACTGAAACTGCAAATTCTGTGTGCTTGCTTCAAGAATTGGAGCAGGAAACTTGCCCTGAAGGCAGGAACTGCCTCAAAACGGATCAAAGGAATGGAGTATATCCAAAAATCTGATGCAGGGATTTATTTAAAAAAAACATACGACTTCTGTATCACAAAATGAGACTCAACTAGCCAGGTTAAAATAAGATTCAAATTTAGCAGCTACCTCATATCGTCTTTTCCATGAAAAAATATTAATTAAAGAATAAACGCTAAAAGCTCATAGCCCAAATGCCGTATCCTAATTCAGGTATGTCTTTATAAATCTCTGATGACAACCACCAAAAACCCCCCCACAAATGCAACAGATCCTTCCACTTCACCTCAACTCACTGATATGCCATGCATTTGGTTTTAATCTTGGTCTGCTGAGTGACCCAGAGAGTGAAATCTTAAGAAGAACAAAACTCTTATTAATAAATATTTCATAGTAAATAGTAAAGAACACATGTAAAATGATGTCACTTCACTAAAGGTACTGAATCAGCCAGATTTATTTACTGAGCCAAGCAAACCACTTCAGGATCACCCAGCCAGACAGCAAAGCCAAAGAGTTTCTTTTGCCTTAACAAATGAAAGCAAAATGCTTTCTTTTACTTTCTGTCTATTCTCATTGGCACCATCCTTTCCTTTCCAGATATATACACATTTTAAATGCTTTAAAAAAGTAAATATGAAGATTCATGTGAGAGCAACCTATTCATCAATTTGACTGCCAACACTGGAAAACCTGTCTAAATATTTGTGAGAAAGCTTAGATCTTTACATGCATGCTTTTCTGTTTAAAGACACTGTATTATTCCTACAACTAGTTATATTTTAGATACTTGTGACCCTGTTAGCTCGTAACAGCATGATTTTAACAGCCTTGTTTTAGTGATGTACAGCACCACTAGCACTTTATCATGTTACTACCAAACTATCATCTTGATATTCCTCGAGCTGAAGGTGTTTCGGGGGCTGCGAGTACATGGAGAAGAACCAGAAGAGCAACACCGCTTTTATTCTCCGCTGTACAATTTAACCACCTCTCGAACCAGCTCTTTCCCCGCCAAGTCCCGCACCACCACAGAGACCTCTCCCTGCCCCAGACTGCTCCAGACCCCGGCCCCGCGGCACCGGGGTTCCTTCCCGCCAGCACCGGGGGAGCTGCGGGCGGGCCGGGCGCTCCCGAGGGGCTGCACGGAGCCTGCCCGGCTGTCCCGAGCGGCGGAGGAGCGGGAGCGGAGCCCGAGGGGCGGCGGAGGAGCGGGAGCGGAGCCCGAGGGGCGGCGGAGGAGCGGGAGCGGAGCCTGAGGGGAGCGGAGCCGCGGGGCCGGGACAGCGCGGCCTGAGGGCGGCGGACACTCACCTTGGCCGCCATGTTGGACGGCGCCGCGTACGGCGCGCGGGAAGGGCCGCGCCGGGCGGGGCCGAGGGGCCGGGGCGGGACCGCGCTCAGGCCGGGATCGCCCGGAGCCGCCGCCGCCCCGGGGCGGGCAGGGCGGATTCCCCACAGCCGGGGAGAGCATCGCCCCGAAGCGGGCAGGGACGGATTCCCCACAGCCGGGGAGAGCATCGTTTCGAAGCGGGCAGGGATGGTCCCCCTCAGCCAGGGAGGGCATCGCCCTCAGCCGGCATGGCCTCAAAGCGGGCAGGGATGGATTCCCCTCACTCGGGGCGGGATAGCCCTCAGCCAAGATCGCCCTAAAGCCGGCAGGAATCCCTCAAAACCGCGGCGAGATCCCTAAAGCGGGCAGGGACGGATCCCCCTCACCCGGGGCGGGGTAGCCCTCAGCAGAGATCGCCCTCAATCGGGCGGAGATCCCTCTCAGCCGCCATCGCCCTAAGGAGGGCAGGGACCCCCTCAGCCGGGGCGGGGACCCCTCAGCCGGGGCAGGGACCCCCTCAGCCGGGGCGGGGACCCCTCAGCCGGGGCAGGGATCCCCTCAGCCGTGGCAGGGACCCCTTCAGCCGGGGCAGGGATCCCCTCAGCCGGGACAGGGATCTCCTCAGCCGGGGCGGGGATCCCCTCAGCCGGGGCAGGGATCCCCTCAGCCGGGGCAGGGACCCCTTCAGCCGGGACAGGGATCTCCTCAGCCGGGGCGGGGATCCCACCCCCCAGATCGGGCGGCATTGCCCTCAGCCGAGCTCTCCCTCAGATGGACGGCGATGCGCTCAGCCCGCATTGCGCTCAGCCAGGATCACCCTCAGAACACACAAAATCCCCCATAAACACACAATCTAAGTGCAGATAATTCGTTTATTGAAGTCCAAATTTACAACTGAAGTTCACAACTTCCCCCCCCCCCCCCCCCCCCCCCCCCCCAAAACAAAAGCTTTGTTTGAATTTAGGAAGAATAAATGTTTGGCTTTGTTTTTGTTTCTTTTTTTTAAATAATGTACAGACTATATCTCTTAAATAAGTTAATATCTTTGAAAAAAGAGCAATATGTTCCTTTTTTTAATGTTGCAGTGCAACTTACAACTTACACGTCTGTGCAATGTACCATGAGGTATATGCCCAGTGAGCAACACACAGTGAAGTTTTCCATTCATAAATTTTCATTGTAGACACACAAAAAGTTAACAAGTTATTAATCTGTGATAGAAAACGCAGCCGGTTACAGTAATTCACACAGAACTCATCTGGAAAGAGGGAAAAAAGAAACCTAATGTTCATTGCCTATAGAAACTATTGGATTATCTCTCAACATAGACAAGTATAAAATTAAAAATACTGCTGTGAAACTGAAGAAATACTGTGTTATCCAGGGGTTGAAACCTCGTTTGACCTGTATTAGTCTAGAACCATTGGTTTTCTCTCTGTAGCATCCATGAGCTGAGGGATTTACTGCGGTACCGATGGAGCATCTGCTCGTCAAAGCGTTAAGCACGATGGGCATTATAGAAAAGTTGCAGAATGCTCAAAAACGTACAACTCCAGCATTTTCCCTGGCATGGACAGGTGGTTTTCCATTGCCTCTCAGTTCATCTCCCAGCTGATTAGAAAAACAAGGCTGAAACATGGAAGATTACTCGTATTTGAAGCTTGACACTTCAAACTTCTCAAGATGGCTCTAAAATACTTATTTTTCTTAATGACAGAAAACATATATTTATTTAAGAAAGAATCATCCACAATATAACTTTGTGATAAATAACAGTTCTGCCTCTAATACATATATACATACTGCTTGTAAACAAAAATGCCCACAGGTCATGGAGTCTCCATGATTTTTTTACAAGGCGCTATAGATTTTTATTTTTATTTTTATTTTTGTTATTGAAAACAGTCCTAGTGAAAGTTTGGTTTATAACCTCCTATTGCTACAGAAACAGTAAGAATGTTTATATTTACAAAGAAACAAAGACCATGGAGACCCCATAGCGTTATTTGCCGAAGATTTGAAGTTGGTGGGGTTTGCAAAATACACGTTGTCAGCACGTTGGACAGGTTGAACACCAGCAGTACGATACTCCAGTGCTTTGGTATTTCAACCCCTGAATATACAAAGACATTACTACAGCCTACTTCACAGTTCAATGCAAGTAAAGTGCAAGCCATAGTACAAGGGTGTCATACATTTCCATACATGTAAGCGGTATCTAAAAAAGGCTCTGTACAAGGTTTATTAGCTATTTAGTAACCTAGATGGAAGTCACCTATGGCCCAGCAATTAATGGTCTTACAAGGATATTGTCTTTGTAATACAGTATGTGTCAAATGTAAAACGTTTATTAATACTAGTGCATTTCTCTTATATCCTAACCTGTTTTCTCATCAGATTTTTAAGCTGAAATCCTTGTTTCTCAGTAAAACAGAAGTCTTAACTGGTAACAGGGTCTTACTGGTAATTTGGCCAGCAAACACAGTTTGTTAAGACATATTTGTTTTGTGGTTGCTAGTGAAAAAATGCAATAGTTAATATGTATTATGTGACATCCTTAGTTAATCTGCAGCATTCAGACACATTTACTGTTAGTAAAAAGATCTGTATTGATACCCTCACCAACGCCTGAGGATGAACAATATTCTAGAAATGTGAGGACAGAAGCTACAGGGCTTAGCTGGTCAAAGAGCAGGTTGTCGACGTATTTGATCATTTTTACAACATTGCTTTCTTTCAAATACTGCTCATGCAGTGGCATTAATGCTTAAAGTCCCCAACTGTTACTTCTAACACATGTATGTTCTTGATAAAAATAAAGACATATCTGCCTAGCCTGCATAAAGAGTGAATATGGTTCTTTTCCTGAAGGCAGTTTCTGTCTGAATTATTTAAATATTTTTATTAAGAGGAGGTCCCAGTAGTATAACACCTGTTTTCAAACCTGATAAAAACTTAAACAATATTATTTATAAACCTTCTTCTGGATGTGCAAGAGTGGCATAACCCGTAAAATATAGAAAATAACCTTTAAAAAATGTTTCTTTTTCTATTAGTTATATCCAGAGTGGAGAGTTCCCTGCCACATGTTAGAGAGTGGAGCTGATCAGAAACATCACATTTCATTTGTGTGTAATGGGAGCAAAGAAAATAACTATAAACATCAACTAAGGAAATACAACTTACTAGTTTTGGTTTAAATAGCCATGAAATTTCCATACATCAGCTGATACGGCTCAGATGTGATTTTCGGATGGGATTTTCAGTTCTGTGCCCACTTAACACCCATCAAGAACCTCAGCCACACGGTGTGAATTCATCTGAGAGAGGAGATGAGGACCTTTCCCCACAGCATCCTGCCTGGGAAACCTACCCTGAGCCTCAGCTTTAGTGAGGGAAACATTCTGGAAGAAAAAGAGCTTTTTAATACTGAATATAAATGAATAGCTAATATTGCTTCTCCAGTCTTTCCTGTTATTACCTATCTTTTGTCCTAGTGGTAAATAAACATCATTTGGCAGCAGGGAAGGTGATGTGCTGTGGCCTAAGGGATGTGGTACATGGAAAACCTGCCATGGAAAACCTGTGCCCTTCTGGCTGCCATAAAGCACCATTTCCCTACTGTGAAAACTGAGGAGAGAATAAAATCCTTTATGAGACCCAGCCCACACTTATTTCTGTACCATTAAAGTGGGGAACCCAGGTGTGCCCTGAGTGGGGCTCAAGCTGAGGCCCAGCAATACAGACAGGCCTGTGCTCTCTTCCTTAAGGAACCTCCCTAGGACTGGATCTGGAGAGGGTCAGAACCTCTGGAGAGACACAAGACTTGCTTTACTGAGAATATTTAAACTATAATTGAATTGCCTGTGGTATCTTCTAGTTCAGGGGCAGCTGACAGGCATTGCAGAGGGGCTGGGTTTGTTGTGCTGCATCGAGCCTTAGCCAAGGATTATTTCACACAAACCATCTCTGAAGGACTTTGTTCCCCACTGCATGAAGGGTCTGTACAAACTGTTGGTGACTTTTCACAAAATAGCTCTGCTGGCAGAG